AATCACAGTGGTCCAGCTGTCAACTGCTCTTCAGAGAAAAATGGTTCAGTTATGAAACTAGCTGTCATTCCACACCGCTGCTATGCAATCGAATGCAGTAGGAAAATGCAATACAAACTAGGTAGATAACATGAGGGATTTCTTTGGCCCAAATCGATTAAAAGCGTTTTGAATCAGTATCTTCAAGTTTTAGGGCCGAATTCAAGCTTCAAAAATTACAAATTAGCAATCTGTTAAGAAAACAATTTCCAGATTATACGCACTTGTGCGAGTGATTTGCGATCTCACATTTTCTAATCACTAATTCATGGTTTCACGGATGAATTTCTCCCTTACATAGATGGCGCACTCGACTTTTATCGAATTTAACGCCTTTAAATGGTAATTTGCTTACTTCAAAGTTTCTTAAGGATATACAACATATTAAACCCGTGTAACAAAAGGTTAAGTTAGATTCCGAACCATACTTCGTTTAATAATACTGCATACAGCTCCATTTCTCCCCACTCCGGTGGTGAGGTTTCTAACTTTCTTTTTTTCGCGGAAAATAAATTCCCATGACCTCCTTTACACGGTTAGCAAGTTTGATAACATTTGATCCAGTAGTTTTCCTTTTATGACCATTTCAAAGTGGAACTTTATTTATAACCACCCTGTATATTATTAAATTTTAATTTGAAGCTATGCGTTACTTATATACCATGCGTAAGATTTTCGCTTTTATGGAAAAAATAAAGAATCGAAGCAAATAAACATAGGATAATGAACCAAAACTGAAAAAATTTCCCCTCCCTCCAAAAATAAAATATTGAATCTTCGATCTTGAATTTATTGGGTTATCGAAATATTCAATTTGACTTATCTTCTAACCTTGAATTTATTGGGTTATCGAAATATTCAATTTGACTTATCTTCTAAGTCCTAGTTTCGACAACAATTTCGTCAAAAATTCCGAATTACTGAAGCTGAAGTAAGAGGTTTAGTATATATTCACTGTATGTTAACAAAGTAATCAGAGTGTAATAAAACAGATTATTGAATTTACGCTGATGCAACTTTGTGTCTAAATGCACAACATGTAATGGAAGAAAAGGCCTGTAGAGATATGTTTTTGACATACCTTTAAAAGTAGATGTCATACTCTTTTTGTCTCTTCAATGTCAAAAAACTTTCCTTTGAGAGGCAACTTTAGTTTTGGGAAAGAAAAAAAAAAAAAAAAACACAAGACAAATTTGAAGAACATGCAGGACAATTGAGTACACATACTTATTTTCGGAACATAAGCGGTTCTACGATTGGTTATTGAATAATGAAAAGATGCACTGTCATGCAATACAAAACATTTGGAATACATTTTCTAACTGAATAACGTATGATTAAAAGTCATCTGCTTAATTCACAGCCATTTACAAGTCAACAACTCGGGCAATTGCAGAATCGTTTTGATCCTGAGCTTGTAAGACAAATCTAATATCACTGGATTTAAACACGTCTTTAATCTTCCGAGAATCCTTCTTTAGCTCCTATTCCAAGAATATTAAGTGAATACAATTATTTCAAAACAAATTGAATATTTATTTGCACTACGGCTTGGTAGTTTACTAACGAGTTAACAAAGCTTAAATTCCACTTTTTGTGTCTAAGAATACAACAATATTTTAAATATTTACAAATGAATATTAAATTGGAGCCTCACTAGTTGCCTAGCATTTGAAGATTGTTAAATACTAATTCTTTGTTGCAAAGTCTAACCCAGGCTGCATGGTTGGTTTTCGTAGTTTTCTAGGTTCTTTTTACAAAGGTTCTCTATGAAAGCATCTTAACCAAATAGCTCCCATGTTCTTTCTATGTTCAAATAACCAACTAACCTAGTTTAAGCGCGATTTCCAAGTGAAATTGCTAGCAAAATCTGAATACTCATTAAAAATCATGTAGCTCGCCAATCGGGAGTAACATGAAAGGTACTGCACCAATAATTGAATTGCTATTACGGTATGCTGTTTCTAAACTTAGATGGTCATTCCTTAATTAAATATAATTAATTTGTAACTTCTACTAGCGCTGACGGTAAGAATTGAAGGGCAAATAAATGATATCGTGTGCAGTCTTGATTAATATAAAATTAGAAATATTTGCATTCAGACAGAAAGTTTTTTGAAATATTTGCAATTACCTTATAAGAAGGATTTAGTAATAACCGTAATAATGACTTATTATATTACTGATGATTAGAATTCAGTTCTTGACAATTAAATTCTAAATTAGAATTTTAAGGATACAATGAAAATACGTTATGCATAAAAATACATTTTAGGATAAAAAATGAGTTGATTTTTTTATGTTTAAAAATTTCTTAAATTCATTTAGTAAACATCGTACCCTCGTTGTTAATTGAATCCAGAATGCTGGGTGTCGTTTATATAATTATTCTTACTTGTCCACAAAACCTGCTGACTTATCCAGCCATTAGGTAGTTGCAGATCATTTCTACATAACCATTGAACTTCCATTAATTCGATCTCTAGAACTTCCATTAATTGTTTATATCATAATTTGACTTTTATAAAAATTTTTATTCTCAATCTTATGTTTCTATAAAAATATACTGTGCTTTAAAAATACGGATGATAGTATCAGCCACTCTTTCAGCCACTTCATAAGCAACAGTTTGTTTAGAAATAAATTATGCAGTTAATGTCATCAAATATTTTCATAAAATTCTAATAAACATCAAACAAAAGTTCTCAGTTTTAGACAATTTGATTTAAACGAAGTTAAAGTAGCAGATAAAACGCCGAAGATAAAAATTTACTCTTACAAATATTTTTTTTAAAAAAAAAGAAAGAGAGAAATTTAAAAAAATAGTTAAAAATTTGAATAATATCATCTATAATTTAAAAAAAAATAGCTTTTCATATAGTATTAATAAATATTTATTACGTATCATTGAGGGAAAAAATTTCATATAATTAATTTTCCATAAAATTTTATTTGAAATTTAAGGTTAAAAATAGCTGTGGTGGTTTACTGTAACAAAAATCCATAAACCACATTTGGCGTTATTATCGCTGAAAAAAAGATGCCAAATTTCAAAACACGAAAATATGTAAATTCGTGTATATCTTAGAAATTTTGAATAAAAAAGTCTAATTTTTTGCATGTATGCTTAGAAATACACCTACTTTAAGATGGCAGTAAAAATTTTATAGGTTATAATTCAAAATTTTTTACAAAAAAATTATAAAAATTATTTAAAAATAGAAATTTGAAAAAAAAACACAAAAAATTGGGTAAATTTTATTTGGAATGAACCTAAATTTTGAAATGTGAAAGGATAAATAAAAAAAATTAATAATAAAAAGAGATATTAATAAATATTTGCCAAATTTAATTAACATTGAGGAGCTAAAATTTTGAGAGCTGATATTTTAAAAACTACTTGTATGATCTTTACAAAACTTGGCATTCTGGCATAATTTGAGTCGTAAAACTGAAATATGGAAAAAATTGGTATGTTATTTCAGAAAAAGTCCGATTTTGTGTCAAAATACCTATGTTAGAATAGTGCTATATATAAATCTAATATAATATCCTAAGTCGCGCTTTCGAGGCATGAAAAACACAGTTCGAATTTTGTCAATCAGCCCAGTAGAACAGGAGATATAGCACTGTCCCCCCTTTTTTTTTTGAGCAGTGTACATTTAAGGTTTCTTCTTAAATTAAAGGGTGCACATTATATGAGATTATACTTAAAAATTAAAATATGTAATTTGAAAATACAAGTGCATGTTTTACATCGGAATATATGGTACTTATCATTAATTCAGTATCTTGTTTTTCAGATTCTGATTATCATTTCAAAATTTTTTTCACGTTATAGAATCTTTAGAATGCAATTTTTTTTTTTTTTTTTTTTTTTTTTTTTTTTTTTTAAAATGATGTTCATATCAAATTTACTTTCACATATGATAAGGAGTTTTATCATTATAAACAAACACAGTTCAATTTTTTTTTTCATCTGATCATGAATAAAAAATTTAAGTATACAATTACTCAAATCATTGGTTATTATTATCTATTAATTGACTAGGTTCACAAACTTCAGTTTAAGAATCAATATGCAGAGACTGCATTCCCAAATGGCTTCTGTTGATGCTTGATTTTGTATAGAACTTTATGGATTTTGTATAGAACAGGAAGGGAAAAAAAATGCATTGTTTGTCCAGCAAAAAAGTACAAAAAAACGAAAACGCGTTTTGCTGAATGTGAAAAATATTTGTATTTGGAATACACAAAAACACTTTCTTTAATATGCTGCTCACATTTGTTGTTGCATTTTCATCTGTGTCTATAGTGCTAATAAAGAAAATAAGAATTGACAAAGAGTATTGATACAGCACTATTTTTTTTCCTGTGCTAATAAATAATTAGATTTTCTATTCCTTTAAGAAATTTTGTTTCATAAAAGCATTTGGAGAATGCTTTTATGAAATTTTTATTAAAAATTTTAACTTGCATATTTTTTAAAATTTTATCATAAAATTTATTATTGACATAAATGTCACATTGTTTCTGAATATTCACAACATTTTCTTCAAAAAACAAGAACTGCGTCTTTTGGACCCAGTGCGCACTCGCAGGTTAATTTTAAATTAATTTAATTTCAAGCTTTAAGTAACATCTGCTGTTTTCACAAAGGGAAATATAATATAATTATCAATAAAATAAATGAGAAGTTTACATACTTTCTTGATAATTTTAATAATGATGATTTCTTAACTTTTCAAATATGTTATTAGGAAGATAATAATAGAATGCCATAATTTGAATAAAGAATAAGAATCCTGTCGTTATAATAAATATTACTGCACATGAGAACCATGAAGTAAATTGCTATACACAGCAGTAAAAACAAATAAAGACTGGTATTGAAACCCATGTTAATCTAAAAATTCAATAGGGAAAAAACTCTGATATTTTAAGAAATAAAACATGAATACCTTATAACAGCTTCAACCATATAAGACTGAGTTTCTAAATCCATACTCCAAGGTGAAGGTATAGTTGTATGTATCATATGATTAACTCCTTGTTCTTCATTATGGTATGTCACAACACACTGGGCACAGTACCTAATTGGACGATGGCCATTACGTTTCGCACACTCTATTGAAAAGCAAGTTGCAACTGCTGATTTGTCAGTAGCTTTACAATCCTGAAGAAAATCAGTTTCAGTTACAATTAAATATTAAAAAAAAAAGAATAATGTAAAATAATTTTCAAGATAATAACATTAATCAATTTTAACAAGTTTTAACATGCAAAAATTCAATCTGCAACAGTAACATTCTATACAGACATACATAGAAATGATGCTAAATTACCGGATCTTCACATGTTACTGAAACTTTATCCATTGGTAACAAAACATCAATTAAATTTTCTGAACCATGCACTTGTTCAACTTCTTCAGCACATGCTTCACACATATAAAGAGGTGGTGGATGTTCACCAGAAGTTATTGCTACAGAATGTTCAAAGCACATCTGGAACAAGATATGCAATAAGACATATACCCCATTAAAGTGAAAAGTACCTGTTGTAAAATTACATAAATAAAAGTACCTTCACTGCCTCATTTCCAGACGCACTGGAACAGTTTTCCCTTTGGCAAGACTGGGGTTTCCACCCTTGCAAAATAAGGACGAATATTAAGATATTAAACGTACATAGAAATACAACTTCATGAAATATAGCAACAGTAGTAAAATAATATATTTTGCACAGTTTTAAAAAGACTTATATAAAACATATATATTGCCTACAATAATATACATTATAATATATAATATCAATAATAATAATATTGCATTTAATAATGAAGTCATATGAGAAATGCATAATATTCTCCAATAAACAATATATAACAAATAAAATACAGAAAGTGTTAAAAAAAAAAAGGAAACTAATATCTATGAAGTGCAAAAGACCAAAGTTCAATGCAACAAGAAATTTTTTTTCAATCAGGATTTGAAATCAGAAACAAAAGCTTTTGCCTATTTACACATAAAAAATGTGGAAGGCAGAAAAACTACACTATTTACTGAAATACTTTTTGATTAAATTGCAAATCAGTTATATGTATTCATCCTTCCAATTAAGAATAGATTTAGAAGATAACTTATTGAGAAAGTACTTATTAAGAAAACTAAAACCATGAAACAAATTTTAAATTATAAAAGGTGTTTTTTAATATAAATGTAAAGAGTTCCTTAATTTATTAGTATAGTAAAATGTCAAACTTTTTTTTTAATGTCTTAAGAAAGAAAAATAAGAAACATTAATATTTCAGTTTTTTAAAAGATTTTTGCTCGGATTATAGTTTATAATTAGCATAACTGTTTTGCACTTTATTCATCATTCTTAAAGTATTTAATTTTACTCTTATTATTTTGAATTAAGTTGGACAGATTTTAACATTGAAAAAGACTTTATTTATAATTTATATTCATTTTCATGAAAAACATATAGAAAAAAAGATAAGAAGAACAGGAATCTAAACATCTGGTGTTGCAATGAATTTCTAATCTTTTGGCACTTTTCAATTGCATGATGTAAAAATAAAAGAAAGGAAAGATGTGTAAACAAACAAAAAAAGAAGTTTTTGTACCATACGAGCAGTTATAAAACTTATAAGCTACAGTTACATTTTTATAACTAGCATGCATCAGTCCTTAAACAAGTGGAAAAGCTAAGCTAGCACATTCTTCAGTGCAATACAGTATAAAATAAGCATACAGACAGCGCATAAAACCTTTTAGCAAACATAAAACGAGGAGGACAAAAAATAGGTTGCTTAATGAATATGTTTTCTTTTCATCGATGAAAAGTGTGGTGAATTATATTAAAACAAATTTCTTATAAAAATTGGTGGCAAAATATTAACAGGTGAAAAAAAACAAAAATTTTTATTGATCATTAAATTACATTACACAGATTTCTGTCAAAAGAAATACTCTCTATTGAAATTCTAAAATTTATTACATTATGTTCTTAAGATAAAGTAGAAACTTTCACCTAACTTCATGCATGCTCTCTTTACCCATTTAGCATTGAAGATACAGATATGAGACAAAAGAAAATTACATTAAGCACTGACTAAATGATTAATTTACTTATTGCAGAGAAATTTTTAAAAAAATTACCAAGTAGTATATAGAAAATAGATGAAATGTTCTGCGTGTTCAAAAAAATTTTAATTGGATAGTTAAGTAATAAATAATACAGAAAAAGAGTAATGTGTAGTTATAATATTTAAATTAATAGTATTAATTAAAAATGTTATAACTGATTAACACAATGCAACCGCTAATTTGCTATCACGTTTTACATGAAAAAATGTCTTACATGAATCATTCAATCCCTTTCTGACTTTTAAACTTCCAGTCCAAACTTATTGCAAATACACAGAAAATATTAGTCAATATTAAATTTCTTTCCATAACTTAAAATTCTAAAATGAAGTGAGTAAGACATGGGATAAATTTTAAAGTGAGTAAAGAGGTAATAAATTAATTTAGTATGAAAAATTATGCCACCAATTTTCAATCAGATGTATAAATTAGAAATGGTCATGGGCAAAGATTTAATTTAAAAAAAAAATAATTTTAATAATTAACTTAGTATTTTATGGGCAATGAGTGTATGGATATATTAAAAATTAATTTTTATAATTACCTTAGTACTTTATAGACTATAAATATATTTTTAAAATATTAAAAGTTTGAATAAAACAATATCAATATTTAATTTGTTGGAAAATACTACACTATTTTAAGCACTGTCATTTATGAAAATGCACAAAAATGGTTTTAAAAATATAAGTGTGCAACAATGTAACATCAATTGTTAAAATCTGATCTTTTTTAATAGAAATTCCTTTTTTTTTCCAAAATTATTTTTTAAAAGCCAGATGAATGATGGTAAAGAACAGAAAATATTCCTTGCTATTAAATATAAATGTTTGTGTTGGTGAATAAAATATGAAGTGCAAGCAGGCAGGCAATGAAAACAGAAAGCCAGAAAGAAAGATAGAAAAGAGAGAGTGGAGAGAGTGAAGAGTCCTTACCAGTATGGCCTGATCCTTGAGGCATAAGGGAAGGTGATACAGAAGATGGAGAGAAAGTAGGAAAGAGAACAAGACAGGTGAGGGTGCACAGAGAGTCTAGAAGCCACCCTACCAGGGACAACAGCGAATGCATGTAAGGAGACAAATACACTTCAGAGATATTGCCTCAAGTAATTATGTACAGATTCAACAAGCTTCAGCTCCTTTGTCACTTACATTTATATAATTTACATTTAGTAGATAAACATATAACATTAATTAATAAATAAGTTTAATAAAATAGTTCAAAAGAAATCTGTAGTATTATTGCACGTAAAACATGCATTTACTGTCAATTTTTATGATTTGTTTTGCAGAAGAGTCAAAAAATGAAAAGTTTGTAAGTGTACAAAATGACAAGGACTAATGAATTAGAAAACTGTAATGAATGATCAAAAAGAATCATTGAAGAAACAATACTGAGTCAGTGAGAAAAAGAAATTAAAATGCAGAACCTTTATATCTTAGGAAACTGGAGAAAACAATCACCATTAATAAATAAAAAAAAAACATAACTGCAAAAAAAAATTGGATGAAATTTTCATTATTCATCAGTGAATAAAACAAAAAATACAATTTTGAATGCACACCACTGGTGATATGCATTTACTAAAAAATCATCAAGAAAAAGGAACGAGTAACTAGTAAGAAAGAAATGTTCCTAAGCAGCCTTACTTAGTTCTCAAAATTAATATACATATATCCACAATGATAAACAAATATTTTCATGTTATGGTCAAGTTAAACTGTACTCAGATTTGGGAACAACATGTACTATGTGTGCTATATTTTCTTCTTCATTAATTTAAAATTAAACTGTAGAAGTTTAATATTTACTTGAAGCACAGTGAAATTAAAACTTTTTGGATAAAGTAAAATAAAAGCTTGGAAATGTTATATGATTACCTTCAAATAATATGAAAATAATTGTAGCAGTAATTTCATACACTCAGAATGTACTTCTCTTCCTTCTTCCTGAACAACATTATATGGATATGTAGAATTAGTAAAAAATCTGAATTGATTATATGATAGAAAACTATTTCAGTCAAAAAACCTGAGCAGCATTTTTAAGAATATACTGTTAAAACACTAGAATTTTAAGTTACTAAAATTATTCATTAAACATTTTTTATATACTACTACAAAATATTTCAGATCCAATTTCATCATAAAAGTGTACCTCAGGAAAGTTAATTTCTGCCAGTAACAACATAGGACCTCAGCTGATAAGTATATATGAAAATAGAAAACAAAAAAATGATGATGAAAGAACAATCATAAATCAACCTAGCAGCAAAAAATGATGTATGAAACATTATAGCAACAAACTGAATGACAGCTAATGGATGAAGGGGTAAAACTGAAGTTTGCTGAACCTTTATATCTGTATGTGAATAATATTATTTTCTGATTATTGAAAGAGGCCACAAAAAATAAAAAACAGTGCATAATACACGACCACGTCACATATGATGCAAAAAAACACGAAACACTTCACACTATAACTCTACAAACTGCAATGAGGGAAATGCAAGACAATAGCGAAAATAATTCAGCACCATTCATATTAGGAGCATGAATGCTTTTGTATTAATCTAGCAAATACATAAGCACTGAATATGCATTTGATGCTTTATGGGTCTCTATATCACACTATACATGTCTGAATATTTACCAATAGAAAACATAATCTAGCAGATCACAAAAGACTAAAAATCAAAACATAATGCTACTTTTAAAAAATCAAAACAAAAAACTGTACTGAGGCTACAAAAAAGGTCAATAAAAAATTTCATTTTATGTCACAAAATAAAATTGTAAAAATAATATAGCATATTTTTTTTTTTCAATTTTCAAAAAACGTTATATCATTTACCATCAAATATACCATAATAATCACAAAATATGATATATGATTAAAAATATTTTCTAAAAAATTTTAAACAAAATGTGCTATTCATTTCAGGTAATCAAATAAAACATTAAAATATGTAGGTCTTATAAACAAAATTTTCAATACATAAACAGTATTTTTATAGTCTGAGATGAGAGAACTTAAAAAAAAAAAAAAAAAAAAAAAAAAAAAAAAAAAAAACTTTAGTTACAATCTCACTTCAAATTAATAAAAAAAAGTTATTCAAATTATATGATTACTATATATATGTATATATTCTATTTTAAAATTTTTATGATAAGGGTGGTGATTGAAATATTCCAAAACAGATTTGAAGTACTTGTAAAAAACTTAAAAGGAATTTACAGGGAATAATCCCTAACTTATTTGTGTATTTCAAATATACACTTATATACTATTTGAAAATATAAAATTAAGCAAAAATTTGCACAAAAGAGAATAAAATTGGTTACTAACAAAAAAGAATTCTCTAAATTACAGAGAAGAGAGAATGGTAAAAGAGAAAATCATATTTTGAAAAAATTGTACATAAATTGTACATAAAAATTTTACTTTCTAGTTATAAAGAAATTACTCTACTTAATATTTATAAATTGTCTCTCATTATTTACAATTGTAATTAAAAAAACTCTTACAAAAGAAAAGTTTTCAGTTTAGCTATTATTACAATTATGACCAAATAATTTTCACTTCATTCGCTAAATGCATATCAAAGAAAACAATCAAAATGAAATGCTAGTTTTTTTTACATGTTTTCTCAACTCTGTTTTATTTTTTCTTATATATGCAAAATATTTGCATTGATTTAACATTTTGATTTTTACACAACTTTTCAGATTTCACTGCAAATGATTCTGATATGAAATTTTTTAATTCAAAATTCAAGAATCTGCAAATATTTTAACATTATGTAAGTGTACATTACAACTACTCTGCAGTGAATTTTCAAAAGTTTTTAAATGACTATAATTTAAACAGAAGGAAAGAATAATTTCACTATTGTTATAAAGCTGAAATAATCTAAAAACATTTAATAATTCATGGGTCCATAACATTTAATAATTCATGGGTTCAGTTAAAGCTTAATTATTAACAAAATATTTTTATTGTCAAAACAAACTAGCAGTTAAACCTGCAATTGTTAAAATATATGTCATCCATAATAAAAAATATTAACTTTCAACCCATCTTTAGAATTAATTTTCTAGAAAGTTAAACTTGGAATACATTGAAAATTCAGCACAGCAATAGCCCTAACATTTACTATTTATGTACTATTTCTATTATGTTACATTTCTACTATATTTATTACTTTCATAGCTTTATATTTTTAGGCACTAGAACATCACACTGAACTCTAACTAATATGCCTTTTTTACATCATTAGATTGTTCTACATGTTAATATCTTTGCTAACTTTTAATTGAATTAAAATGTAATTTAGGTGTAGTGCTAATCATTTTTAAATCTTGAATTCATCAAAGACTTTCAAATTTTATTTTTGGAGAACTCTAAAAACAGTTACCCACAGTAAAAATTTCCTAAGACAATCATCTTTCAAGTGAACAGTATTTCTGACAACACACACAAACAACGGAATTAACATTTATATTTCCATTGCCTTTGATGATTACTTTGAAGTTTGATCATGACAATCAACTATGCATTAACATCAGTTTCTTTAAATTTGCTTCAAATTAAAATATCTCATATGCTAAAAAAATTAAAATTACATTTCCTATTCTTACTGTAATAGTAAAATTAATAGAAAATATTAATTAAAATCTAAATCATTAATTTTACCCTTTTACAACTTGGTATAATTTATCACATTGACAGTATTTATACAGCACCGTTTAAGTGATTTATCCCATCCCTAAATTGTTCCTATCAGCTTTTGCATTTCCTATCCACATGGCAGAAACTAGAAAATAAATCATTATTCTAGTAGGACTAACACTTCTGTTTTTGATGTTTCTGATATATATGCATATTGATTTTATGAATCAGAAGTGGTTAAATCTAATGTAAAATGCCTATAAAACCAAAGGCATTACAGTCTAAGAGATACTGAAAATGCTGATGGTGCTCTGTTCACAAAGGAAATTGGTAAAAATGTATGAGATACAATTGATTTATTTTATCAAGTTCAACATGTTTAAAAAATAAGATAATTAATCAGAAGAGAAAACAAAGCATACTTCATTAGATGAATATTTTAATGAGATGTAAGTATTTTTTTAAATAACTAGACAAAATTTATAATTAAAGATTACTTCCTCTTTTGTTTTATACTTAAAATCTGTTTTCTGTATTTTAAAATGCTGTTCATAAAATTAAGATAAACTTTTTCTCCAAGTTCTGTGCTTTTGCTTCAATGTTCACAACTTATCTTTTTAAATTATTTGTAATCTTATTCATATAACAATATTATTAATTTGTGGTTTTATTGATGTAGTGGTATTAATTCATAATTTTATCAATATACCACATTTCTACTTCTGTACTTTTTTAAACTGATTATAATGATCTTGATTAAGCAAATCGGTAACTGCCCTCACTGACAGTCATTTTCTCTAAAATGAGCACAGAATAAATCATTCAAAATTGTCTGCTTAGATCTTCACTGCATTGGTCAATAAAAGATATTAAGAATTTTTCAATTAAAATTATTTCTTTTTCACATACTAGTCATAAAATGAATGACAAGGTTGATTGTAATCATTGATCAGCCTCACTGGCCACTTACTTAAGAAAATCATAAGAAAATATAAAAGTGATTTATGAATCATTAAACAGTTCAAAAGAACTTAAAAAATTTTGCTACACATAAATCAGTAAATTTTTTTCTATTCACATATTGACAACTAAAGTTCTTTTTTTACACTTTTGTTCTTTAATATTCTAGACAGGTTCACATTATGAAATATGTCCTTTTGCTTAAATAAACAAATTTAAATACATATTACTTTAATATTATTTTCAGTTATAATCTTTTAAAACCATAATGGACATTTTAAGGAACTCTGAAAACAGGCTCCTGATATATTAAATGATTCATAACAAAATACATATTATATTTTAGAATATTTAATAATTAATATTGCCCCCAAAAGCTGTAATTTAAATTTTTGCTCTTAAATTTGGTACC